CGAGTCTTCTCTTCGTTTGTTGCTTTTGCAGGAATCTCATGGAGGAGGACTAATGGGACATTTTGGACGCGACAAGACTTTTGCTACGCTTTCCAAGAACTACTATTGGCCAAAGATGTTTCGCGACGTCAACCGCTTCACCAACCGATGATCTACATGTCACAAAGCCAAGTCTAAATCCCATTCCCATGGCCTTTACATGCCTCTCCCTATTCCTTATCAACCATGGGAAGATATTAGCATGGATTTTTTACTTGGCTTGCCTAGGACTAGAAATGGAAAGGATTCGGTATTAGTCGTTGTGGACCGTTTCTCTAAGATGGCACATTTCATTTCTTGCAACAAGATAGATGATGCTTCACATGTTGCCAATCTCTTTTGTAGGGAAATATTGTGTCTACATGGAGTGCCAAAGACGATCGTCTCGGACCACGACGTCAAGTTCCTAAGCTACTTTTGGAAGACCCTATGCGCCAAGCTCGGAATCAAGCTACTCTTCTCCATGGCGTATCATCCACAAACCGATGGCCAAACGGAGGTGACCAACCGCACACTCTCAGCTCTACTTCGTGTGCTCATCAAGAAGAACATCAAGGAGTGGGAGGAGTGTCTACCTATCGCCGAGTTCACCTACAACCGCGCAAGACACTCAACAACCGGCAAGTCCCCCTTCGAGGTCGTCTACGGATTCAACCCATTGTCCCCATTGGACATCCTTCCTCTACCACTACAAGAGCGCATCAATATGGATGCAAGTGCACGTGTGACCCATCTCAAGAAGGTGCATGAAGATACAAGGCACACCATCGAGCGCCAAGTACAACGACTTGCGACCAAGCACAACATCAACAAGCAACCCATGGTATTCAACATTGGTGATCTTGTGTGGCTACACCTTTGGAAAGACCGCTTCCCCACTGAACGCAAGTCCAAGCTTCTACCTCGAGCGGATGGACCCTTCAAGATTCTTGCACGCTACAACAACAACGCTTACAAGATCGACCTCCCGCGCGACAAGTACAACGTGAACAACATCTTCAATGTCAAGGACCTCTCGCCCTACCATGGTGATGAAGAATTTGATCCAAGGTCGGATCTTCCCCAAGGGAGGGGAGATGATGCGGAGCATCCCAAGGTCATCCCCATGGACCTACCATCGTCTCACCAAGTTCCTAGTGGACCCATGACACAAGCACGTGCAAGAGCTCTCGGAACCGAGGTGACATCTCTCCTCTCACAATTCCACTTCGATGCACATGAAACATGGCTACTACCTCAAACGGAGACATTTTGCATACTCAGGTATCAAGGAGTTGGCCATGAAGAAGCTAAGGAGCAAGGAGAATCAGAAGAGGAAGATGGGTGCGAAGACGGAGAAGAAGAAGAGCTGCGGACAAAGCCCCAGCCACCAGACGACCAGTCGAGACCGGACGTCCGGAGCCTGAAGCCCCAGCAGAGCTACAGCGAGCGGACACCCGGCCAGGACCGGACAACCGGCGACCCCGGACACGAGCCAAACGAGCGGAAGTCCGACGCCACCGGACGTCCGGCAACCGGACGACCGGCCACTTCCGTAAATCCTCTACTTCAACATCCGAGCCAGAACAAGCGAACGACCGACGACTACCGAAGGTCCGGCCGCCCGTGAGCCACCGGACGACCGGCCCCCAGCGGATGTCCGGTACCTGTCTGTGCACAGGATTCGAGCCCGAGTCCCATGTACCCCCTCCATTCGCCCCCATTTGCACTAAGACTATAAATAGACCTCCTATTCCTCCTAGCTAGGGTTAGCAATGGATTAGCTCATATTTCGTGTGAGAGCTTTGCTCATCCCCTTGGTTACCTTCTCCTCGGAGATAGCGCCTCCTCGGAGAAGATCCCCCAAGCGGATTCAAGACCCCCTTACGGGAAGAACCTCAAGACCTCCTCACAGAGAAGACCGGCTACCTTTGTTTACCGTGGATCGTGTGATCTCTTATGTACTCAAGGATCTAGCATATGTGTGACTATTTCTTGTTGGTTTAGTGATTCTCTCATGTTTCCCCTCATGTTCTTTGTGTTCATCACGGGATCCGCTACTTTTGTGAAAGATACCCTACATCAGGGGCCACACCCCGGAGACGCGTGCCGCTCTTCAGACATGCCACCACACCACCCCGCATGTATGAGGGCCTGGTGCGATGCTCCGGTGGCATTGCTACCCCCCCTAGGGCCCCTGTCCCGCCTAACCCTGGAGCGGTTGACCACAAGATCTAGCCCTTTGACTTTCCACAGACAGGCTTTGACCAGTGGACCTATCCACCCGGTTGTGTGAGGTCAGCCCATACGGACACCTAGGAGCAACATCCGGGCCAAACCCACAGAAACATCCCCTCGTGTAGACCCGACGCGTCCGTTTCCCCCTCCAGGTGCCGGCGGCGCCGCCGTCCTTGAGGGGGGCCACACCCCAAAGATGCGTGCCGGGAGTTTGCAACCACCACAACACTTCCAGACTTGTGAGAGGCCGCCTACGAAAGATTTGGCGCCATGCTAGCCCCCGGAGGCCGACGGCCATAGTCGTAGACACGCGAAGGGCAATCCGTGTAGTGGGAAGTTTTCAGATACTTCTCCATCACCAAAAATTATGAAAAATTACCATCAGTCCTATAGCACATGTGCCCACGTCATGTAAAAAACTCATGATTTTATCATGCTCCAATTATTTAATAATATTCACGCCCGCACCATTATCGCAGAACGTCTATTACCGTGTCATCGCCGTCCGTTAGGGGGGCCACACCCCGGAGACACGTGCCACCTCTTCAGACATGCCAACTCACCTCCCGGCATGTATGAGGGCCCGGTGCGACACTCCGGTGGCATTGCTACCCCCATGGCCCCCGTCCCGCCTAACGCCGGGGCGGTTGACCATGAGATCTAGCCCTTTGACTTTCCACGGACGGGCTTTGACCAGTGGACCTCTCCACCCGATTGTGTTAGGTCAGCCCATAAGAACACCTGGGAGCAGCATCCGGGCCATACCCACAGCAAGATCCCCTCCGTGTAGACCCGACGTGTCCGTTTCCCCCTCCAGGTGCCGGCGGCGGCGCCATCCGTGAGGGGGGCACACCCCGGAGACGCGTGTCGCCTCT